GAGGCGGCTGTCGGGTTTGCACTGGGAGCAGTGGGAGGATGCATTCTGGGAGTGACAGAGGACCCAGTGGACCAGACCCTGACTGTGATGACTGCAGCCGCTCCCCTGAAACCACTGATGGACGAGGTCAGGACTGTAGGAGCTCTGGGGCTGGGGACCCTGATGGGGGCCACAGCACTGACCACAGCGATGACCTCAGTAGTAGCTGGTGTGATTCTGTCTGCAGTGTTAGCTTCAGTGTTTGTGGCCACCAGGAGCTGCGGCCCCACCCTCAAGGACTCTGCTGGCCTGTGGATCTCCGCAGGAGTCGCTGGGGCCTTCGGGACCACTCTTAGCGGAGCCACGCTGGGGATCTCTATTGAATGGATTGTGAAGAACTATGGCATGGTGGGCCTTCTGTTTGCGCTATGTCTATTCAACATGCTCAAACCCCCCCTGCACTATATATTTAAGATCCTCTGGCAGCAGGGAGAGGCCTGCTGCACTCTGGGTTCTATATTCTTGGACAAGGGGAGGGAACAGGTGGATTTAACAGACTTGGAAAACAGAAACAGAGTGGCTGTGCAGATAGAGCAGAGGATCCTGATGGTGGAGAACGGAGGCAGCATGACGGATCACAGGAAAACATGGGCCACTGAGCAGAGGCAGAGAGAGGAGATAGAGAGAAAGAAAATGGAAAGTCAAGAAGCAGAGATGGAACAGAGAACCATCCATGAGTGGATCAACACTGTGTTGGTGAAATACGTGGACTTTCTGGCTTTCTCTGGGATACCAATGACGGTGATTGCCGTGGTGACATCCGGATTCGGGGTGTTTGGTTACGGAGGACACCCATCCGTGTTTATAGTGCTTTTGGTTTTGGTTGCAGTCATAGCCTACGTCCTGATGAAATCTACGGACTTTAAGTTCTGGATGTTGATAGGCTGTATGGGGATGGTTGCTACATTCGTCGTCGCCATACTAACGCTACACGCCGGGCAGGTGGTGGTAACAGCGGCCATGAAGCTGCCACAGGCGGAGCAGAAGCAGTCCAGAGAAAAAATCAGTGCTCGTGTGAATCAGCAGTCCTCTTTAGAAGCTTTGAACGCAGCTTTCTTCGTGGCTAAATTATGCCAGTTGGGTTTGGGGGCTACAGTGGGAGGTCCGCTGGTGAGACGAGCAGCAGGAGAGGTGAAGGTAATAGTGGGGGCAGCTTTAGTGGCGGGGGTTTTACTGGCCGGGGTGGAGGTTTTAACCCCGATTCTAGGAGAAGGGGGAAAAGCAGGGGCGCTGCTGGGGGTGGTGGGGGCAGCGGGGGTGTCTGTGGGGGCAGCGGCGGCTGTAGCTGGAAGGTGGTCCTCATGGGCAGGAACTTTAGGAACTATAGCAGGGCTGGTGTTAGGAGCATTAGTATTGGGGAAATGGCACATTGTCAACATCGGCCTGCAGGTGCCTGTGGCCTACGTCTTTGCTATGACCAATCCTTTTTAACACATTAAAAAACCAAAGGTCTGCTGTGAAAATTGTCAATGCACTATAAGTTACCAGTGTGTCATTTTCACTACTTGCCTTTTTACTTTAGGTACTCTACTGTAAAGGATAACTTTTTGCTTAGTTCTTCCAGAATCCAATGTGCCGAGCCAAACGAACACTGAAAGTGCTATAAAATGTTGACTTTGCTTGTTATAGATTTTTCCTGTGGGCTATGGAGCTCCGTTGTAGTGCAAAAACTATTAAAAAACATCAATGAGCCTCACTGTTGCACTGGGAGAATTGTTTCTTAATTACCATGAACACACACACTGGGACAACCCACACACACCCTCCTACTGCACCAAGAACTCACAAGAGCACCAAATGTGGATTGTTCCAAAATCTGTAAAAAGTCCCCCAGTAACGTTTGTAACAAACTACAGATTAACATCTGTTTAATAACGTCTGACCTTTTTTTAATTTAAATTCAACTTTGAACTCAGAAAGTATTGACAGACGCACATTTAATAATTTGAAAAATATAGAATAACAACAGGCCAGTCCTTTAAAGGTCCCCTATTATACTGTTTTTCATCAATATATTATAGGCCTCAGATATATACAAACATGTCTCTGAAGTGTTTGGCTCGAAATACCAAACAGATCATGCATTGTAGCATCCAATAATCCCCTCTGTTTCAGCCCTGTTTCAAAAGTGCTGATTCTCTGTCTTTTACTTTAGATAAAAATCTAAACACCCCTCTGCGAGATATTTGGTTAAAAAGAACAAAATGGTGCTCTAGGAGGAGATTCAGGTGATAAGATCGGGGGGTGTTACCTTGGTTGGTTATTGGCTAATGGTTACACAAGCTAAAAAATCGTTATGACATCAAAATCTGATCAGCTCATTTTCAGACATGTTTTTATATAAATGGATCAGGACAAAAAGTGAGCAAATCTTTTTTCCTGAAACTTTCAGAATCTCTTTACAGAGAGGACGCATGTTTATGTATAAAAGACGTGAAAAAGTGGATTTTGCACAATAGGTGACCTTTAAAGCTAAAATACATTCATTTATAGCCAATACATTTGCAATAATACATCTTCAAATCCTTCACTATAGAGCTTTTTAACTTTCTTGACAGATATGTCTCTTACAAAGGTTAACGGTTCAATTCCATATATCTAAATCCTGCCCTTTAGCACATACTGATAGCACATACATGATGTTTTTGAATACCTGTGTAGCTTATGACAGATGAGTTAGATCCACTCATGTAACTACTAAGTTGAAACCATAATAGTTGGAGCCTGTATTAAAGACCTGTGTCTGTCGGACAAAGAAAGTTGTAAAATAATATTTTATTTTCATTTCATTGAGTCTAGGGGCACCACAGAACTGTAGCTTCTGGACAACATTTTTCTGGATGTGAACCCAGGGACTGTGTGGAGATGTCTTCCCGGATCAGGATGGGTTTCTCATGGTCGTCCTCAGAGTACATTTACCGAGTGTTTTTGTTGATTGCTATCTGCAAACATTAAATTTGACTGTAACTTGAGATTTTAGTTCAAATGATTTCTAACATCGTAGTTTTACTAGGAATGTGCTGGTATTTATATTTTATAGATCTGTATTCTGATCTGTTTTATAATTGTTAGTGAGATAGAAACTAAGTAATTGTATATTGATTGTAATGTGTGTACCCAGCTAGACATTTTTGGTTCTAAAAACATTCTGAGAATGTTATCATTCACTGTTCTAGGAATGTTTTCAGCAGGTTTTTTTTTTGTTTCCAGAATGTTCTTCTGAAAGGGAGGATAACGTTCTCTAAAAACATTCTTAAAATGTTTGGTGATAACTTTAAGATGTTTTTGATAACATTGTTCGAACATTATGCCCTACTATTCTTAAAACGTTTTCAGCTGGACGTTTTATTTTGGTTCCCAGAATGTTCTTCTGAAAAGTAGGATAACTTTCTCTAAAAACATTCTAAAAATGCTTGGCAATAACCTTTTTTAAATGTTTTTGATAACATTGTTAGAACATTATGCCCTACCATTCTTAAAACGTTTTCAGCTGCAAGTTAGATTTTATGTTGCCAGAATGTTATTATTTTAGAGTAGGATAACGTGCTTTATCGTTCCGATTTATCAGAAGTCTTTTCTTTTTTTTAAAAATGCGACCAGCAGCTAGTACAAGTCACTGTCGGTGTCACATGTACTAGAGGGGACCCAGAATCAGACATTTATTTATTAGAAAAGGGGAGCTGGGAGTGGAGGTTGGTTGGTTGGCACAGATACAGACGTAGAGACAGATAGGGACGAGCGGGAAAGACTTGGCCCTCTGTGGGCCAAGAGTAGCACGCATGTCTTATTGTTGTTTTCATTTTAAGTGGAGCCATGAAAAATGAGAATTGCCTCAGGAATGCAAGCTTTGTTTCTATGAGCATGGTCAAGTGGAGACCACATCCATAAAACTAGTCAAGATGACCCTATAGCCCGTGCAGAATGGAGTCCAATTTATTACTTTTCCCAGTACATTGACTACAAAGTCTTTGAAGATCTGGAAAGATTCACCAAAAACCAAACTAGTTTTTTAGTCACCAAATAAACAGCAATGTTCAGATCAATTACTTATTCATGTTTAAATAAAGGTGAATGTATTCTTGTATTAATATCACTCTATAACCATAATACGTTACATAGTTTATCTGTTAATTTTGGCTGTCTTTTCAAACTAAAATGGTCTTGACGTCCTCTACAGTGGACATACTGTAAAATAAAAAAATTAAATTAAATAAAAAAAGTCTAAATTGCAAGATGTTTTTTTGACCCTAAATAGGTAGAAAAAAAAGAAAGAAAAGAAGATTGGACTTTAAAGGAAAAAACTTTTTTCCCCCTCGGTTCCCAGGAGGATAAACTGTCTGTGCAAATTAAATACATTCTCTCATATGAAATGCATGGGAGTTATTTGAAATAAATGGCATATTAAGACAAGTAATCACATGTGAATGCTGCAAAACCTGTTTTTCCAGGTGAACGGACGCATGTCTGCACCTCCAGCTACAGGGGAGGAAAAGGAAAACCCAACTGTAATATACAAAGGAATTTAATCCTCACTATCTCCTGTGTCGTCTGAAGAGAAAATAAATTAATAAAGTTACTGATAAAATTATCTTTAAATGTTCCCAACAAACCTCTTTCTCAGTTTAGAGTGTCATGTGTTATTAAAGTATATACATATTAACTTGATGAAAAGCATGGACTTTATGGTCACTTTTTTGTGAGAAGTCCCTTAGAAAGCACTGATATTTAATTTCAACCATTGATATTAAATAATTAAAGCAACACCTGCATCATACTGACTGCAGGATACATGTAATATAAAGGAAAAATACAAATTACAAATGATTAAAAAACAACAAAAGTATGGAAAGTAAAACAATATGCAACATATGCCTCCACAACACTAGTGTAAGCCTGTTTCCTGTTCTATCATGTGACATTGAGCAGTCACATGACACTTAGCTCACCTTACCAGGAAGAGATAAGCGTTGCAGCTCAGGGGAAAATCCAGGAAGTAGAGAGAGCAGTCATATGCTGCAGCAACAAAACACACACACGGAGAGTTCACAACAGCAAGCTGAAGCTTCAGCTACACAGGTAGGACCATGTTATTTCAAACATGGCTTTTCAGAAGTGTAAATAATTGTGTGTTTGTGTGTACATATAAAAAAAAAGGTTCAAGACAAAAACGTACACTGTATATGATAACCTATATGCAACACTGAATGTAGTTGAACTTAACGTTGATTAGAAATCGCAAAATAACCTGCAGTGTCAGTTAATGCCTAAGTCATGAAAGCAGATAAAATGTGATTTGATGCTAAAGCACTGAAAGTGGTCAAGCTGTCAATTCTGAACATTCTGCACAAAAGGAACAAAAAAACAGTAAAACTCACAATGAAATGTATCAAAAACACTACCATAGATCATTACTACCTTGTCAAAAAAACAACATGTATTGTGTATTCTGTGTGTGAGTAAATGTTCAAATCTGTAATTTGCACATTTTACATTTTTTTTTAGAAATGGGGCCCTTAGCGGTAACTCAGCTCCTTGCCCTGATCTCACTGACCGTTGCCCTGGACAACGGATTGCTAAAGACTCCACCAATGGGATGGATGGCCTGGGAACGCTTTCGCTGTGATATCGCCTGTAAAGAGGACCCAAAAAACTGCATCAGGTGTGATCAAAAGGGACATGTCTGGATTACTCCAGATATTCTGAGAAAATATATTGAAGGCTTTATCACCAACAAGATAAATGACTGAAGTACACACCAATAAATGTCCTCCAATTAGTAAGAGTGCTAAAGTTTTGAAAATGAACATAGTACATTATGACATAACTTTGCTGTTGAAGCAGTTTATTTTGAACGCTTGAACATCTTTCTCAGAATGACAGCCGAGCAAGTATCTGAAAAGTTACACACAGATTAAGTAATTGACAATCAATTTAAATCTGATTCTAAATGTAAATGATGGACAATGTTTTAGTTATGAACCAAATATGTACAGCATAGGAAAATTGTGTTTTGCAAATGAATTGGTGTGACAAAAAATCTTTTAAACAAGTTCATACAGATATTACTAAGCCAATTTCCTCCTGGAAATTGCAACGTGAAATATGTATAAAGTGTGTTAAACCAAGAAATCCAGGAACAGTAAAACATATTTGTGTCTGTGCCTCTTTGTTAAAACCTGTTAAGCCCCGAGCCTGTTTTTCAGGTTTCAGGCTCGAAAATGACATGCCCAAAACAAATGACTACAACTTAACTTCTAAAAGGATTATATGAATAATTTATTTTATCAAAGCAAGGTTACATCTGTGAGTTGGATGTAGAAGTGTCAGAATCAATATAGATTTTTCTCAGTCAGAGTAAATCCAGATGGAACATAGCAAAAAAAGGTAAATTCTTACCTCCGCCTAAAGAAAAAACATTATTTATAGTGAAAACCACCCTTGAATGATGGGATGGTAGACTAAAAGCTTTAGGAATCCAAAGTATAACATATAATAAGTACCCTGTATCAAGATTGAGGCAAAACAAGTGAAATTTGACCTTTTTAGAGAGGTTTAGCAAAAAAAAAGTCCAGGCGGAATAAGCTTTCGGCACATTTGGGCACATCTGGTTCCATCAGTGCCATTTGACCTTTTTCAGGTACCAGACTATAAAAATGGTGTATTACATTGAATTATCACCATAGGTATTCATTCCATCCAAAGAAAAATAATTAAAATTAAAAGATTAAATAAAAAAATAAAAATATTTTTTTTAATTTAATTTGTGAAAAAAAAGTTACTGTGGAAAAATGTCCTTAATGAATGGCCAACTTTTAACTAAACTAATTAAACCTTCCACCATATTCAGTTGAAATCTGTAAAAATCTTCCTTTTCTCTGTCCATGGTGTCCACAGCGAGGGTCTGTTCAGAGACATGGCTGACCGGCTGTCTGAGGATGGCTGGAAGGAGCTGGGCTATGAGTATGTAATCATAGACGACTGCTGGATGTCCAGGCTGAGAGACAAACAAGGGAGGCTGCAACCTGAACCCTCCAGGTTGGTCTACTTTTTTCTATTGGAGATTAAGCATGTCTGTGTTTCATCTAGTATTACAAAAGACCGAATCGGCCATCCCAATTGGGGCTTTTGATGTAGTTAACAGGTCCACATCCTAGCCACATCTTGAAGCCAAACTGAGGGCTCTGACCAAAGAATGGGATGCGAGCTTGATCCTCCACTGGGAGACACCTCGTTCTTCATCTAGCCTGCGGACAGTTTCTGACCAGTCTTGCTTACTTGAGCTTCCTTTCAAAGACCTCTTCAAGACGATCTTCCAATTGGACTGTAAGCTTGAGGAGCACAGCTTGCTTCTTGACAAACTGCATTTATAAAGCACTTTTCCAGTCCTTGCCCCCCTCAAAATGCTTTACATATACAAGTCTGCAGACACCATTGGCCATGCCATTAGGCGCTTTCACACCGGAGTACTTTTCCCAGGAATAGTTCCGATAGTTCCTGGGATTTTGCGTTCACACCAAAAATATCTGGAACAAGAACTTTTTTTTGCGAACCTTTTCACCCCTTTTTAGTCCCTGCTAGAGAGCAGGGACTTTCCTGGGGAGAAAAAGGTTCCAATTTATGATTGGCTGGGCGAATTGCAAACCACGGCCCGTAAAACTCTGAAAAGTTTTTGTGAAGCCGCCATTTTATTTGCTTGCATTAGCATTATTAGCATTAGCCCAGCGCACCAACGGAGAGAGACTAACTTATGGCAACACAAAAGAAAACATGGGAGCGGTGGAGTGATGAGGAGGTGTCGGCGCTTCTGGCGATTTACTCGGAAGGCTTCAGTACCAGTATGTTCCCAGCAGCTTCTACTGAAGCCAGTCCCCAACTCCGGGGACTGGCAGTATACGCCGTGAAGTTGTTTGCGGCCTGCCAGTAAACCCAAAGCAGAAGAAGAAGAAGAAGAAGAAGAAGAAGTGACGTCAGCGGCTCCCTTAGGGACTTATTCCGGTGTGAACGCGATTTATATCTATCTATCTATCTATCTAAACACATCCTCAGAATGTTGCAGAGAAAACGTGCCTTTATCACATTAAAGGAATGTTTTATAAAAAACTTTCTGTCATCTCAGGCCTCAATAACCTCCTGAAAACATTATCCGAATGTTGCTTTGAAAATATTCTTCTTTTGTTAACATGTAACATTGAGGGAATGTTTTATAAAGAACATCTGTAATGTGTTACCTCAACAACGTCCAAAAAACATCCTTAGAATGTTGCAGGCAAAACGTTCCACCTTTGTTAACATATCACATTAAAGGTGGGGTATGTAATTTTGGAGAAACCGGCTCGAGATCGCTAGAATTTGAAAATACACAACCGGAGAAAATCTGCCACTTCCTTATAGAGCCCCTCCTCCAACACACACGAACGCGCACATGACCAATGAGGGCACGAGATAAGTTTGTGCACAGATGGAAGGCTGACAGGCAGGTAGGCCATCCAGTTATTTTAGCCGGGCCGGCTAAAATGATTGGTCATGCTTTTTACAGTATTACGGCTTCCACAGATGACATTTTTTTATGGATTTTTTGTCAAAGCACTTAAGATATTCATTGCTATCGGGATGTTAAGAGCATTCCATGGAATATAACAAAAAGTGTATCTCGAGCCGGTTTCTCAAACTTACCTACCCTACCTTTAAACCTTATAGGAACATTATTTGAAATAATAAACATCCTCAAAAGGTTCTTTGAACATCAGATTCAAACGTTTCTTTAAAGGGCCCATGTCATGGCCATTTCCACTGATCATAATGACATTGTTGAGGTATACTAAAATAGATTTATACTGTGCAATTTTCCAAACTCACATTGGTTTCGCATACAGCATCTCTGTAAAGTATGTGTATTCAGCAGTATTCACTCTCTCCACTAAACGACTCGTTGGAGCTCTTGCCCCCCCCCTCCCTGTGAGCCTAGTGTGCTCCGATTGGTCAGCTCGGCCACTCTGTTCTGATTAGTCAACCACCAGAGAGGCTCCGCCCATGTCTAACAGTGCTTTTTTCGGCTTGCTCTCGGAACATCAGTCTTATCATGGCGTCGGTACAGCCGTATATTTTATACGCTAACTAACCGAACTGTACCTACAACTGTTGTTATAGAAGAGTAAGTTATTTTTACCTGTAATAAACTACTACTGTTTGATGAGAAATCAAATCATAGTTTGCTATATATGAATGATATGTTATAGGAGCAAATAATTCAGGGAAGAAAGGATAGGCCTACTAAGTATTTCCATCAAACTTTATTTTTAGAAATGTACAAAATGAACATAAATATACATATATACACGGTATATCATCCATTCCTCCCCGTTGTCGGCATCTTGCCTATCGCAGCCGGGGCTTTTTAGGACGAGGCCTCAGTGTGGTAGTCCCGTCCCCGTCATGTATTTTCCGCCAGGATCTGGCAGGACGAAATCAAATGCAAATCACAAAATATTAGAGAAACTTAGTTGTTTTAGATTCGTTAGTAGTAGTTGTGGTAGGAGTGTGGATCTATCTAATCCATCTATCTAATAAACACAGTAAGCTTGCCAGCTAATATGCTAACCTAGCTTTCTTGTTTACCTTGTTAGCAAACACGATATGAACGTTAGCTCGGAGGTACGGCAACTATAATGGAGTGTAATAAAACTACTATGAACAAAAGCTAGTGGTTCATATTAGGCTAGCAATAACGTGTTTATAATTGCAATCTTATACGGGTAGTCTGCTACGTTCGGTCATTCATTGTAACTGGCATGAATACGATGTTTCCCGCTAGCATGTATAGCTAGCCTCGTTAGCTATACATGCTATCAGCGTCGGAGGAAAGCCAACTGTAATGTACCGTCCTTTGGGGGTCTGTGAACGGGCAAAGAGAGGGGATTTCCCCGTTGTCTCTGCTGGAAGTGTGAGATAAACCGAGTCCCCATTTCAGGGACACCTCTTGGAGGTCTCTAGGCCGTCCTTTGGGGGTCTGTGAGCGGGCAAAGAGAGGGGATTTCCCCGTTGTCTCTGCTGGAAGTGTGAAATAAAGAGTCCCCATTTCAGGGACACCTCTTGGAGGTCTCTAGGCCGTCCTTTGGGGGTCTGTGAGCGGGCAAAGAGAGGGGATTTCCCCGTTGTCTCTCCTGGAAGTGTGAAATAAACGTAGTTGTTTGATGTTCGTCAGCTTGCCAGCTGGATTACAATGCTAATCTACGTTTGCTAGTTGTTCAGTTGTTCAATATGCTATACTATACTATGAACAACATATAGTGGTTCATATTAGGCTATCAAGCACATGTTTACAATTGCAATCTTATATGGGTAGTCTGCTACATTCATTGTAGCTGGCATAAAAACAATGTTTTTCCGAGCAACCTCATGTCTAGCTCTTAGTAGCCTTGTTGTTTAGCTCGGTAGCATACACGCTCGGAACGCCAGCTATAATGTAATTACGTTTCGCGACTGACCGTACGGTAAATCACCTGGAGTATACTGTCTATGAGTATTTTGTGTGTGAATGCAGACATTCTCCTACTATGAGATACATGTATGTAAGGCCATCTGCTGATATTAGAGTTGATATGGAAACGCTAGCAACTTAGTTAGCACAGTTAGCACTGGCTTAGCAGTCCGAAACATGTTTACACATTTAAACAGTCGTGGTAGATACCTTGTTTGATAAATACACAAATAACAATGCAAACTTACAGGTTGTGTACCCGAATCTTCCCCTGCTCCAAACGGTCCAAACAAACTAGGAATAGCATCGTCCTTCAGTTTCAAATGCTGTGCATATCCGGCCTCAAACTGGGCAATGTTTTGGAAGCTTTCGTCTGTGAAATGCCGCGCACACAGTAACGTTCTTCGAACCTCTGAAGGAACAGTGTTAAAAAGACATTTCAACCACTGACTTCGTCGTGGTTCTTCCGTCGGTAGGACAAACAGCTCAGATTTCTCCTCACATTTCAGGAAACAGGTCCTTGGCATTGGCATGACTGGATCGATTGTGAACTGAACCAGAGCTTCCAACAGTAAATGTTAGGCTGGCAGAGGGTGCGGCCAGCGCCGCTGGGTGTGGCCATAGCTCTTCGGGATTGGTCCATTTCGTCATGCGGTACCCGGAACTAAATGGAAGACTCAAATGGGCAGTGACGTATCTCCAACGAGGCGTTTTGGGGAGGTATTTTCTGTGTTAGAGTTTTACTCGCTACAGGGTGTACTTTGAGGGTTTTGACTCTGCACACCGTTTACATGCATAAAAACCTTCATAACACACAAGGGGACGGGTAATAACCGGAAAAGCATGACATGGGCCCTTTAAAACATTATTAGAACCTGTAGGTAACGTTAGCCAAAGTTGTGAGAAAGTTCCCTGCTAGCTGGGATGCCCAAGGACACACCAAATCAGTATTTTGACTGCAGATACTGGGGATCTACCTCCTAAACCAAAGTAATCCCATAACAAGTATAAGGGCAACGCCCGGTGGAAGGGTGGTGGCTGTGATATGGTTCGGAAACTTCAATATGTGCTCAAGGTCAACCAGCAGTTGCCAGAGGTCACGTTGCCTGCAGATGTTCTTGTTGCGGCTTTCGGCTCCTACCCAGCACTGATAAAGGTGATGGTATGCTTGGAAGATTTGGCCCACTTTGCCAACTCAACTTCTGCACTGATTGCTTCAGGAATCGTCTTCAGGACCTGACTATCGTCCTTCACCAAGTGCCTTTGGGCAGCAGCTTAGGATGTGCTTCAGGGTTCCTCACTTGGAGCACAGTGGGCTTGGTGACTCATGTGTGCAGAATAGATGGGCTTCAAAGCACATTATATTTAAAACTGGCACAATATGGCAATATTACCTAGCAGGAAGTAAGCTATTCTGGTTACTTTGCTTATATTGGATTTGCAAAATGTTGCCTTGATTGTACACTACATGATCAGCTTCCATTGTTCAATAAAATGTACAATGTGAGTGCTTGCTTTCTTCCAGGTTCCCAGGGGGCATAGCAAAACTGGCTAAGTACATCCATGACCGTGGACTGAAGCTGGGAATCTATGCAGACATGGGCACTCACACATGTATGGGATACCCTGGCACCACGCTGGATAAAATCAATATTGATGCCCAGACCTTTGCTAGCTGGGGGGTAGACTATCTGAAGTTTGACGGCTGTTCCTCAAATGCTGTAGAACAAATGCTAGGTAAGAGCATACTAACCTATTGAATAGCATTGACCGAAATCTTTGAAAACCTTAAAAGTACAGAAGCCACAAGAGATCGTACACTAAGCAAGTGTTTTCTTGTGTCACAGGCTACCCTCTGATGTCCAAGGCTTTAAATGCTACAGGCAGACCTATGGCATACTCCTGTAGTTGGCCTGTCTATGTAGGAGGCCTTCCCCCTAATGTGAGTGTCATTCCAATGATGGTCAACTCAAGCTGTGGGGTCACTTGGACTTGAATAGAACCATGACAATGTTCTGACAAAGACGCGCTAAAGGCAGTTGCTGCACTTAAACTATAGAATGAAAAACAAACAAAAAATGTAAACTTTACTCACTGTTCTTGATCAAATGATAAGCATTGGTATAGGTTTTTCATCATTCTTTAGGAAAATGCACAATATATTTTTGTGCACAGCTTTAAAGTAAATTATACTTCCTTGGTCCTACCAGGTCAACTACACTTTCCTTGGTGACATTTGTCACTTGTGGAGGAATTACTATGATATCCAGGACTCATGGGACAGTGTGCTTAGTATTGTTGAGTGGTTCTCCAACAACCAGGATGATCTGCAGCCGGCTGCGGGGCCTGGACGGTGGAATGACCCTGACATGGTATGATGGGTTTGTTTTCATTATTGATCTTACAAAACTGATAATGAGGCAATATATCCTGGAATATGTTCCACTGTGTAGGCCTTTTAACCACAGAAAGATGTTGCTTTTAAAAATTGAAGATGGTGCTTTTCAAAATGCTGTTGAAGTCAAGTCTTGTGTCGTACGTAAAACAAGGCTAAAACAATGAATGCATTCACAGATGAGTTTACTGCCTTGTGGCCGAAATGTTAATGACCAAACCACTCTTTTCCTTTTTTGCTCTTCTTTGCCTTACTGTATTGTTGTTCTCTCTTTATGCCTCTGATATCTGTCCTCAGCTCATCATTGGAAACTTTGGTCTCAGTGTGGACCAGGCCCGCTCTCAGATGGCTCTGTGGGCTATAATGGCTGCACCTCTCATCATGTCCAATGACCTTCGAAACCTGGACAACAGCGCCAGGACCATCCTGCAAAACAAAATGGCTATTGCAATAAACCAGGACCCCATGGGAATCCAGGGAAGACGCCTATTGCAGGTCATTATCATTATTGAGACAGATCGGATTATATATAATGACAAGGCTTAGTAAGGAATAATGTGCAGAAGGGCGGTCTTTAATGAAAAAAGACCACTGTGATCCTGACACGAAGGGGTTGGTGTTCTTATTTCATTAATGATCGCCCTTCTGCACATTATCCCGCTTATTACACTGCTACATACTAATGAATCCGACAATTTTAATCCCAATGTTGATTAAAAATGATTTAATGGATTTCAAAATGATCATATTACAGCTGAGAAAAATTGTGTACCAACGGCTGGAACTGTGGCAACAGCAAAGTAACTTAAAGTGGACCTATCATGCTATAGTTGAATAATATAGTGTAGGACCATACCTATATAAGGCATATTTATACTTTTTTTTTTTTCAAAATACCAAACAGATCATGCATTTTAGCCATGCCTCATTTCGCTCAATTTGAAAATGTTTAGCTCTGTTTTTGCAAGGGCTGATTCTGTGAGAACAGCACCACCTACAGGCCTGGCATATGTACTACAGCGTCTCCAGCGCTTTCGAACGGCAATGGCCGTGGCTGTCTCCTCCTGATTGGTGGAGTTGTAGAGAGGGTTGTGTTTTCTGACACTTGGTGAGTTCCCTGGAACACCGGGGACACATATTCATGTATAAAAGACGTGCATTTTGCATGATAGGTCCCCTTTAAAATAACAGCCGCACTGATCGAGGTTTTCTGTAACTGTCCAAGTCTGTTCACATTTTCTTTCAATTAACTAGTCTTTAAACACTGCAGGAGCCCATACTTAGTGTTAGTGTTTACTTCCTGTCTTTTTTCTTCTGCTGTTCCCTTTGGTGTTTACTTCCTGTCTGTCTTCTTCTGCTGTTACCTTTAGTGTTTACTTCCTGTCTGTCTTCTTTTGTTGATTTCTCTGACGTCCAGCTCTCTGTCTTTTAACAACTTAACTTCTCTTGCGCTCTTTTTCTTTTCTATACTGGATACAGTTTAGCCATCATGAATCCAAAATTCCGTGCTCACCAAAATATTCATTAATATTCCTTGGTGTTGTCTGATGGAGAAAAGGAATGTTTGTTGTCGACAGTTGATGTTAAATAGACCGGACATCTTTCTGCGCATTGATATGCCGGCCCATTCTGTAGACCCTTGATCTTTCTTAGCCCCCGTTGGTTCTCCTTAGCAGTGGTATGTTAGTGAAAATTAAGAACACTTGAATGTCCAAATTGAAATTCGGAATCGAGTATTCAACTAAGCCGTATAATAAGGTATAATACACAGTTCACAATAATACATAATGATGTAGAACAACAAAAGGTGGGAGGACTTTTAGGGATTTGGAGTCAAAGTTTGGCACCCACAAAAATCAACCAGGGAGTCTTGTCTAAGAAACAGGTTCAGATGTTATATTTTCTGTGTGTGTTGTCACACAGGAGAAGAGTCATGTTGAGGTTTACTGGAGGCCTCTGTCTCAGTCAGCCAGTGCCCTCGTGTTCCTGAGTCGACGGACAGACATGCCCTACCTCTACCACAGCTCTCTGGGTAAACTCAGCTACGATGCTGGCAACTATGAGGTTCGTACACCCTTTCATGTCTTATCCTGTGTATCATATTTGTCCTGAAATAATTTGTTCTCTATTATCTCTATTTAAAAAAAAAAGAAAAATAGTTTATTATTTTTCTTTTTTGGAAAATTATGATAGTTCATTCATTTTGCAGAAATATGGAGAAATCCTTTGGCATTTGTAGGCAAACATGTATATATGTGCAGTAAAGATTCTCCCACTCTTTTTGGAAGTTATAATTTTTAAATGTTGCATTTTGTTGAGAAATATTGTATAGATTATTTTACTCTTTATCGTTGTTTTTGTGTCTCTAAGCTGTTTGCAATAGTGACATTTCTCATTGGATTAACCACGTACTATTATCTGTTTATAGTGGTTCAACAATGATTTGGTGAAATATATGAAATATATAACAATCCAAATATAAGTTATATTTTCCATTTCAGCTCTAAATATCTTCTCTTGTTTTTAGGCCTATGATGTGTTTACTGGCGCAACAGTGACGGGTCTGAACGCCACCACAGAGTTTACCTTCTCCATCAACCCCTCGGGTGTAGTCATGTGGTACGTGTACCCCCAAAAAGCATCCAAACAGACGAAGATGCTCAGGAAAACCTCAAAACTCACATGGCAAAAAACTGTACCGAAGCATAGGATTGTGTTATGAAGTAACTGCTGTAAATGCTAATCTCAAATTGTATGGAATAATTGGAATGCTGAAAGTCTCAAACAAAGCATTTTCAGCTTAATTTGGTTTATGGAATAGATATTCTGCGGCACTGATTTTAATGACACCAAACATAATCATTTTGAATTCTGTCATATTTTTGTATTGTTTAGAAGTGCCTTTTTCTTCAATTGAATAAACATGTACTATTTTTCGTTGTTGGTGATATTTCTAACAGGAAGTAGCCTCAAGTAGTTTTTATTTTATTTAGATAAACTGTGACACTACCAGGTTGCCTAAACAAACAGATTTGATGATTTATATAAAAATGCACATTTATTATTATTTTAAATTGTTGCTGGACACAAATTATGTTTACAAATGTAAACAGTAATAATACTGTAAATATAGCAAAAACAAGGGCGGATACACATCCTGACCAGTGATGTCTTTTATGTCAGTACAGACATTTTTCAAGTTTTAACATGGTAGTTTTATATCACCGTCTCTGCTAAGCTGCGGATCCTGCTCTGCAGCCCCAGCTGGGCTCCTGGGGCTCTCCGTGCCCTGGGATCGGCTGAGGCAGAGGAAGTGGTCCATGTCCACCCACGTCTTTCCCACACAGACCCTTTTTAGTCCGCCTGGGGTCAGTGTGGGTCAGCGCCGTTCTGTCGGCTGCTATCACTCACGGATGAATCCACAGAGAATGACACCAAATGTTCTGAGAATAATACACATGTCCTTCAGATGTATGTGCTCGTAAAGTACCCAAAACGCAAGTCTAGAGCCTTTTTGCTTTGTAGATTGCTGGACACCAAAAATTGAGGTCTTCGATCAGAAGGTTGTGGGTTCTATCCAGTGGCGTAACTATTGACGGTGCAGCCGTAGAAACGCACCGGGGCCCAGAGCCGGCCAGGGGCCCATGCAAAAAATGTTTTTTATTTAAAAAATATTTATTTATTTAAAAATAAAAAATTGGGGCCCCAATGGCATTGACCGGTTCACGCAGTCTTTAAAGTAACCAAGCAACCTAAATTAAAGTGGACCTATCATGCTATATTTAAATGATATATTGTAGGGCCATACCTATATAAGGTATATTTATACGTTTCTGTTTTCAAAATACCAAACAGATCATGCATTTTAGCCATGCCTCATTTCGCTCTATGTGCTGTTTGCTGTCTACGGGGCTGATTATGTGAGCTGCAGCTGACCACGCCCCCATGCAGGAGAGGGGAGCCGTGCTCTGATCAAGTTAAGAGGGGGAGAAAAAAAGATCTTCGTCCTCCGTGTTTTATTATATTGTTATAGGCCTATAGAGTCGTTATTAATTTGTTTTAAAGCTCAATAAATAACAAAGAAGACCTTTGACCGGCACTTTTCTAATTTTGTCCGGAAGATTTAAACTTTACATCTTGACGGGCGAAAGAAACTGAAACTGAAACTCTGCCGCACAGTCCCCTCGTTCCTTGGAAGAGGTGGGTGTTTGTCATCTGCGGGTGGACTAACCGGAGAGAATTACAGTGCTTGCCTCGACGGGGAGGGATTGCATTAAATTAAAGCAGTGGGAGCAAACGCTTGCCTCGGGGAGGGAGAAAAAAAGCCACAGCGGAGAATAAACAGAAGGGTAACCATGGTAACTATGGGTGGGAAGTCTTCTTCGCTGCTTTTGTGGCAGACTACAGCGCCACTTACAGGCCTGGCATATGTACTACAGCGTCTCCAGCGCTTTCGAGTGGCAATGGCCGGCCGTGGCCCAACCCCACATTCCCCTGATAGGTGGAGAGTTGGCCCAATAGCCGTAGCGCCACTTCTGTGATGTCATTGAAGTGTTCAAATCTGGATCAGTTTTTATCAGATCCGTTGCAGCCCCTTTTTTAGAGATTTGGGTATGGAGGAAAATAGAGAGGGTTGTGTTTTCTGACACTTGGTGAGTTCCCTGGAACACCGGGGACACATATTCATGTATAAAAGATGTACAAAAGTGCATTTTGCATGATAGGTCCCCTTTAATTTGTAATTTGTCTGTCCAATGACCTTGCTCCCTTTCATGCAGGCGTTATAGATGTTCGCCAAGGGTGCCAGATCTGGGGGGGCGCTGCGCTGGCAGCTCTGGGAGGGGGGAAAACATTTTTGACCGTTGGTGCTCATCCTAATTTTCGGCCTTGATATAACAACATTCATAATTAAGTAAATGTAACACTCTTTTCACCCCGCTTACACTTTTAATTTGCCCTGTACGATGGGCGCTGTAAGTGATGAAAGTGGGGGATGTTGGCTTATCTGGCAGCTCACAGCCAAAGTGCAAGTGAGCGTGGGAGCGAGGTACCGGCGCTGTTGTTATTAGCACCTGGTGCTAGCTGCGCTAACGGATATAAGAAGAAGATGTTTCTACAACAAAGGTGGAGGGGAGCTCTCTCCTGACAGACTGAGAGGCTGATAACTACAGCTCAGTGAGGTAAAGGACTCTCTCAGTGGTTAGATAGTTGGGGGCCCAAAACAATATTTGCACCGGGGCCAATCACAACCTTGTTGCGCCACTGGTTCTATCCCAGCCTCTGCAGCAAAACATGGACACATTTTGAGTTGTATACACTGTTGGAAAGAGGAGATTCCTAGCTTTCTAATGATATCAGGATTGTTGTTGTAGGCTACTCCAAATATTAAGTGAAATATGTGACATTATATAATGACTATCACCGAGTCATCATTTTGAGAAAAAGGCCTTCAAAGTTTCCTCTTCTCTGGAATCCATCGATCTGATTGATTATTAGCGGAGCAAATGATCAAAGTAGTACGGAGGGAAAATATTTTCGTTTGGATTACTGGTCTGGGGGAAGCTCGCGAGTGTGTGTGTATGTATGTGTGTGTGTGTTGGTGTAATTTTGCGTTTGTGTGTATTGTGTTTGTTTCCCGGGGAAAACACTCACGAGAAACACTGGCTGTTGTTATGCCTGCTGTGACGTTAAGTTACTCCGTTCTCCGCTTGTAATTATGCCGTTACAAGCTTCAAAGTTGTATTTATCATCTGAATTTGCCGAAACAAGTTTAATATTCTGAAAGCCAAGACTTTGTTTATTTGAAATCAGATGAAAACAAACTGTAACGGACCCTGCCGTGTTATCTACTATACGCTTACATTCATAATTTCAGCCGGAGGGAGGGGGGCGGTGCTGAGGAAGAGCAGAGTGGCGAGTGAGAGGTGTGTCATCTTCCCTTTACAAGCTTCAAAAATGTATTTATCTTGTGATTTTGGAAATAAAAGTTTCATATTCTGAAAGCCGAGACTTTGTTTATTTAAAATCAAACAAAACACCCAAACCCCGAAAAACTATTTTTTTACGCAAATCCACGTTTATTTTTAAATGAGCCGTTGCGACTTCCGACTGATTTCGATAGAGCGGGTCACATATGTAAAAACGCTTTGAGGAGTCATAAAGACTGGATAAAGTGCTAACCAGTATGCTCCAGTCAGACTTCATTTAGCATATTATTTGAGAATTACTCTTAGACAATAAATTGGGGAATCTAAGGATTAAAATCAAATCCTCTCCTAATACTCACACACATGTACATTTAACCTATCATAGTATTGGGGCAGTGGACTACGGTGACCGACCTATGTAAACACGCTACAATGGCCCAAACACGCTGCACTTTCATAAACGACGCAAATAAAATGTATTAACCCTTAGGAGTCGACCGTCATGCCGTTGTGATCAGATCACATGACTTGTTCAAGCCGGTGCCGCATAAAAACAACAGTCTGGACAACATTGCCGGCTGTTTCCGTCGAAAGTACTGGCTTGAAACTCTATGCCAGTTCTTTCATGCAAAAAGAAAGAAAAAAAATGTTTCACACGCTCAAAAGTATGAAAAATGGAAGCATATATTTTAATATCTTGGCCGTATTTTTATCATTTTACGAAATGGAAGATGATGCTGGAAACTGTAGATCCTGCTCAACAGAATGTATTTACCAGGGAGGGGGTGAGGTAATCAGGTAAACAGAGTGATACGAAACGAGACAAAAGGAGCTGAAGAGAGACAGCGGAAGACGAAGAGAGGCGGCGGGAACCGAAGAGAGACGGCTGGAAATGGAGAGAGACGAAGATATACAAAGAGAGACGGTGGGAGACGGCGATTGAAGTAAAGTGACAGACAAACATTGAGAATTTAGATATAGTTAGATAGATTTAGAGTTTTGAAGATTCAACTATGATGAAGAGAACTCTGAACGTGAGTCAAGCTATAAACTTGTTTTTTGACATGGAGGAGGAGCAGGGGCGTCGCCTGGACCTGAAAACATTCGGGGCTTAGCCCACAGTGGCCGCGGCACTAGTGGCATTTTTCACTGCAACACTCCCCACACGCACACACACAGTACACCCGCGACTGTTACAATGAAGGCTCGATAATCAGCTCACGGCATATAGGCAGGGGTAAAGTGGTATTTTTTATGAGTGGGGGGCTCACCTCCTCTAGGGGGGTCTGGGGGGATGCTCCCCCGGGAAGATTTTTTTTTAAATATTGAAGTTAAATGCATCAATCTGGTGCACTTTGAGAGCAAAATGAAGAGATCTATGGATACCTCTCAACACCCATATGAAGCAGAACTGTAAACAGATGTACTTTTTCTTTATGGATATTTTACTAATCACTCCCCTTTTAAACTCTATTCTTGTTTTACTGCCATATAGTATTTCATAACTGTTTTTCCTTTATTCTCTTATTTTTTTTATAACTATAATGATCATATGAAGGTGTGCCGCAGAAATAATCTTTTGAATAATTTGTGACCAAACCGTTTGAGACCCACTGAGATAACTTAGACTAAAGTTATGTATCTAAACACTCAGAGAGTCCTTTAGCTCACCTGAGTCTCTCAGTCTGAGAGGAGAGGACTCTCCTCCAGCTTGTTGTGGAACAAACAGCTCCTTATGTCCGTTAGTGCAGCTAGCTAACCATATGCTAACAACACGTCCCTGCTGGCACCGGGCACCGGGCACCGGGCACCGGTCCCTCCCTCCCCCTCTCTCCCCTCTCTCTCTCTATCACACTAAATGCGCTATTGCCACACACACACAGAGCCGAGTTTGAATGACACAAGCACACGTTTATTTCCATGCAACTCTCTGATTGGTCTGGTGTCATGCCTCTGTTGCATTCACCGAACACGGGAAATTACAGTGCTGCCGTCCTCTCTTGTGTCAT